TTTTATGGTTAATTTTCCCTCAATGATTTACCGAGCTCCAACTTTGTAATCTCAGCAAGTTCTTTGTCCACTCATTGGTATATTGCTGCATCAATTATTTTTCTTTTTCCTTTTTTTTATTAAATTTGTAAATATCATTTTGGACTTTTAAGTACAAAAAATTGAGATAAATTGGAAAGGATAAATTGCAGATCCAGTAACTACAGATGAATGGGGAAGAGAGGATGAATCCTACAGAATATATCTAAGTAAATAAAGTAAAAAGTTCTGGGAAGCCACAGGGTGGCACTGACCTGCTGTTGCTGGCTTTATAAAATGGGAGCTGCCCCAGTTTAATAAAGGCAAATTATTATATTTATGCATAGATAAAAAGATCTGGCATTAAGCATCCTTTCCCAATTTAATCCAGGGAGCAGCACTAGGAAAAACAACTCAATAAACAAAGTTCTACGTTAAAACTTTCCCTCACTTGTATTAAAATTAGTGATGCTGGAAACCACTTGTATTAAAATTAGTGATGCTGGAAACAGACACTATTTTTTGTTCCAGTGGGTTACCAGGAAATCTCTCCTTCCTGGAAATGTTTCTAACAACAGGCCTTGGAGAATAGGCCTTGGAGGGTTTTTTTCCCCCCTCTTCCCCATCACACACATTCTCTCCATTCCCCTAGAGATCTGCCTGCTGTGTCCCAAAGAACAAAGCCTCTTCCGATTAAGGAGAGGAGAGCTGGGGTTTCATGCTGTGTGTATAAACAAAATCCACGTCACCTCAGAGTCAATGTGGATTGAAACTTCCCTGCTCTCCATCTGTCACTTAGACTGATCAGCTTGAAGCCTGCCTTTCACAACAGGTCACTTCTGTGGCATACTGGGCTGCTTGGCAAACTGCTGGGGGGTGGAAGGGAGAGACTGACCTAGCTTTTACCTCCTTTCTTCCAAGAACAAGACTGGAGACCATGCTAGTGGCCCAGTCCAGACTTAGCTACCTTAAGCCAAACCAGTCCACTCTGATTTCCAAAGTGTAATAATTGCTTTACTTGAAATGCTGATACTTTCTGCCTGCAAGCTAATTCAAACTGCATTTTAATGCCTTCTTCAGGCATGAAAACTAAAGTGACAGTCACTTTGCAATACAAGGTTTTATAGATAAAATGCTGGAGGGGAAAAATCAGCAGTTGATACAGGAGAATCTGACCTTGCACATGTGACAAAGGACAATTGAAAAAAAAAAGCAGAGCAATTGAAGTTGCAGTTGCCACCCACACACAACTGCCCCCCCACACACACATTGCATGAAGCTCACCTACACAGAAAACAGGATCTTAAAAGTCTCTGGCTTTATTTGTAAGATTTTCAGACTTAACTGCAGAAATGATGTCACAGGACCTTAAGATGTTTCAGGGAAGAGACCCAACAAAAGAACAATAAAGATAACTAAGATTGAGTTCTGCACTCTGTATACAACTGACAAAGCAACTTTGGCATTTTGTTTACCATATTAAACTATGACTTAGCAGCTTTATAAATAAATCAGCTTTATCCAGCATGACCTTCCAGTTATACTGAGCAAAATTCCTATTCTGGCTCTTGATGATATGAGCTACGTGAGGTACACTTGGAAGACACCATGTTAGGAAAGGCTGATTTGTGCTATCAAACGTTATTTTCTGAATCAGGGAGGATGTAGCAATAAGTCTTCTCCATTGGAACTGCCTGGCTCTGCATTGCTCTCCCCAGAGACTTTGGCTCTTCTTAATCTTCCCTGAGGTAGGAAGAAATTTGATTTCCCCAAACTTTAGAACTTTAGTATCATAGACGAGGGCCTGGTGAGCCATTTTGTTCCAGCCTCTTTTTCTTTCAGGAAAACTGGGCCTGGACATCCCCAGTTCTTGAAAACCTGATTGAAAACTAAAGTGGCAGCCATCGCCATTTCTTTAAAGGAATTGCTTTAATAGACAAAGCTCTTCCACTATTCATCTCTAGACCAGGGGTAGGCAACCTTGGCTCTTTTATGACTCCTGGACTTCAACTCCCAGAATTCCTGAGCCAGCCATATAAAGTGAAGATTGGGAGGTGGGGAGGGAAAGGTGAAAGCTTAACTACCCAGATTTCGTGTTCTATTGTCTTGTCTTTCAAGTTGCACCTGTTTTAGGACCTGCTTGGGTAGGTGGTTTAGCTTACTTTAAGTTGTAAAAACAGGGCACCTTGAATATTGCAGTTAACATAATATGAACCCAATCATCATTATTTTGCAGTGGTTTTTCTAAATATCTGATGCTAGCCAATAAAGTATTGGGCTTTATAAAGGTACATTAGCATTTCATCACTGAAATGCCTGAGTCATCTTTTCAAAATCAAGATGATTTGTCCCCACTGACATTGGGCAAATAGCAGCTATAATCACAGCAGAGGCACAGCAACAGAAAAATGAGTTGAACTGGAAGACACCTCTTGAAGTACCTATTTCTCCTTCCTCCAGTAATGTTCTGTACAAATATAGCATGCCATTTATTCTTCCTCATGTTTAGATTCTCACAAAAGTTAGACCACCATGTTGACATTGTACCCTGTCAATCTGGTATTTATAAAACACACAAAGCATTCAAATTTCTCTTTTAATTTGCTCCTCTAAGGGTAGACATTGCATCGCAAGGAATGCTCAGCATGGCTGAAATCAGTGGGTTGGTAGGGTAAGCACACACGTGGAAGGTTTAGAGGTGAATGTAGAGGAAAAGCTTGTATACAGACAACTTAAAGGCTGGGTCAGCATCTCTGAATCCAGATCCTTCAGAGAATTTTTGCCTGCTACGGCTGAACAAGTGCTGTTTTTCCCCTTCCTGGTTTTATCTGTGCGACACCGTTCTATATTGAAGTTTGAATGATATAAGACTTTGTCAGATTCTGTTTATTGTGAAATCAGCTTTAAGCTGAAGTCAATTTCTGATGAGTAACATATTATCAGCCATTAGTTTTCTTGGCATAACATAGAAGTGTTTTGTTTTGCCCATTTTCCAAGGTTTTTTTAACTTTATAGATCTGAACTTTCACATTTTTATTTTATATATATATATAGCACCGTGTATGGCACCGTGTTAATGCAACCAAGAAACAAAATCCTTAACACACTTAGGGCCCTAGGTGGAGCACACAACAAAATCTTCACGGCATTATAAAAGGCCAGCAGGGTTGGGGTCATTCTTTGTTATGGCTATCCCATTCTTTGTCTTGCATTTTGTTTACAAGGAACTTTTATGTCCTTTTTAGGTTTCCCTGCTTGAATTAATTTTGTTCATTAACAATTTTGAAAGAGATAGTTGCAGTTCCATTAAACCAAAATATTCTAATATGGGTTGTCTTCTTATTCTTCGATGAAGTTTTTGTTTTGTTTTTCTTTACAAAAAGAAATCTCCTTACCTGGAGCCTAATGTAATTTTGTTGGATTTCTCTGGCAATTTTTCTGCTCACATATAAATTAATTTGACTATATTGTGGATATATTTCCAACCAACTAATACTGTTCACAACTTGTTGTAAGTCCTGGACACCATTTAGATTCATATCCAGGATTTCATCTGACCATTTAAAACTCTGATAAGCACTTGCCTCTTCAAAGACAAAAAATAAGGCATCAAAGAGAGTTTTGGCATGGGGAAGGGGTGTCCTCTTGTTTCAGCCCCATCCACGAATTCTGAAAGATATTTGTAGAAAAACATTAGCTCACTCCTGTTCTAAAGCAATTCAAGATTTCTAAAAATACTAATTTATATACTGTCATTTGGCCAATAACTCAAGGTGATATACATAGCATTCCTCCAGTTTTGGCCCACAAATCCAAGAAGATTGGGTTCTGAGTAATTCATGACTGAGGTGCACTTAAATCTGGCTCTTCCTAGTTAGTCCATTGTTTTAACCACTACACCCTGAACACACATCTAGACAGTCTTCTTCAGAATAACAGAAATCATTTTTGTTATTTAATACCTTCTCATATGGGTGCAACTCTGATTTTATTCTGTTTGAAAATTGTTAACAGGATTTTAGTCAAATGAAAGGTGCAATACTGTTTGTTTAGGACTTTGTATTGTCATTCCTTCTTTTGAAGTTTCTACTTTGATGTATAGAGACAATGCTCTTCTGAATGCTTACATTTATCCTTTGCATAATTTTATTTAATAATGCTACACGCCATTCATTTTTTTTCCAGCCTTGCCTTATCTACATTTTCTTCTCAAGCTCCAATTTTCAGAACAGGCATAACAAAATATCAGCTTTTTTGATGTGTCTTTATCAAACTTCCCAATTCCATTATCTTTGGATTAAAACATCCATAGAGACAGAAGAAACATGTAAAAGTAAAGGAAAATTATTTCAGGACATTTTTAAAATGCCAAAGCAAGGTATCTGATTCATCACCAAGCAATTTTATCTACTAAATCTGCCAGGAACAAATTAAAGGAAAATTCTAAATTACTGCTTAAAACATTGGGGAAATCTAAGGAAAGATATTGAATTTTTTCTCACATTTTCTCTTACTTTTTCTACAATCTAAATAAATGCCAAGAAGAGAATATTTAAAGGAACTCTTGTCTGAATTAAGAGAAGTATGATAATAAAAAAAGGCTGCAAGCGGCAAAAATGGTTTTAGATTTTGTGAGTATTGGCAATTTCAAATTGCCGAGTTCACAAAAGGTGTTAAAATTATTGACATGTCCGGAAGCATTTGTGGTTCTTTTTCTCCTCTTCCTTCTATTGTAAACTATACAAAATCATTCTGGAATAGGGTAGCCTCCAAATCAAATCAATAAAAAAAAAGTTGTTGCACTGAACCTAAATGATGGCCTTAAATAAAATGCCAGGTGTCTGTTGGAGCAATAGGTTTTCTGGCTACGAATCTCAGTAAAATGTTCATTATCCAGGTATTCTTTCAAGAAATCACTTCAAAGTTATCTATTCAAAATACTGCTTGCATATGAATAGAAAAAAGGCACACAACATGGGTAATTCACTTCAAAACGTATTTTAATTTAGAAATGCAGTTATATACATAGAATTGAAATTAAATTAAATTTTGTACAAATATTAAAATACTATCATCACACCCACTGCAATGTACAGGATGGATCTATATATATATATATATATACACACACACATACATACGCGCGCGCACACACACATGCTTATATAGATCCATCCTGCACAGCATTAATTATAGAATCTTTGAAATCCCATATATATATATATATATAGATATATACGAGTACCATTCTGTAAATAAATTCCAATAAATTCCTTAGTGATGCAGTTCAGATTACAAATAAGAAGCACTGAAGGCAACCAGGTTTTCCTCTTTTGTATATCCAGCTACCTACAGCCTGTCATCTGCATTACAGTGTAAATGTGTGCCTGAATGTTTGTTCTAACAGGATGTTTGGTCTGAACTCTCTGAGCTTCCATGAAAAATGAAGCATAACAGTCAAATTTCCAGCAGAAATTGACTGCTATGCTCCTCAGCTCACCAGCTGGAAAAAGATTTACATCAACACAGAGGTTTTCCATTATCCAACGGCATTTCCTCTGATGTAAAAATTGGAATCTTAATAACATGACAGAGGTGATCAAGTTCCAAAACAATTAAAAGCATCTAGGAAACAAACCAGCCATGGTTTTGAAATCCATAAAATACCACTAAATGTAGCATGGTGTGCCAATTAATGGTTTCCAACTTGCCCCTCTTAAAAGCACATGTCACTCCTTTCGGGAGTGTGTGTGATACACATACGAGAGTAATAATGGAAACTGAAACCTGATTCACAGCATTGCAATTGCATCTGCTGTATACAGTAGTTAACATTAAAATGTTAAGAAAATGCCATGTACTTCTCAGGGATTTGCAGAACACAAGCCCTGGGACCTGAGGTTGACCAGAGATGATTAGTTTGTGTCTGTGTATTTACTGGCATACAATGCAATAATTATTGCAAATCCAGTTATGTTCTGTCATGTAAAGTATGAGTTAGATGTGACACATGGCCTGTTTCTACACTTCTAAGCAATGGCTGAAGATTGTATGGGTACATTATATTTGAAAACAATACAAGGACACAGTAGTACTAATTTTTTGCACTGTAGACACTCTCATCTCACAATAATGAGGATATAGGATTACATACCACAATTGTGTATGCATTATTTACTCAACCTAGCACAATTAACAAAAACATCTTTGGTTCTGGAACCACTTTCCATACACATACCCCTTGTAAATATTTTAATTAGTATCATGGTTATCCTTGTGTTAATATACTTGAAATGAGTAAACATTACAGATAGCAAAAAAAAAGAGGAAAACTGAAATAGTACTGACATTCCTGGAGACTAAAAAAAGCAAGGAAGTGGAAACAATTGATTGTGCAAGATTTTTCAAGCTGCAGATCTAGCTGCCCATGCATTCAGTGCATGAGGGCTGCTGACACTGATGTAACATTTTAATCAGGAAACAGATTTGCAGACCCCTCACATTTGCCACAAATAGCAGGAAGTGATTATAATTCATTTTCTTAAAGTAGGTAAAAAATGAATCATTTAAAAGTGCTCCAGTGTTGTTTTAAAAAGTTTTCTGGGAAGAAGACTCAGAAGAATGCTTAAAAGGTGTAGCCTGCCCTTAAGCATCTAGAATTTGTTTTCTATACTTTCCTCTATACAGGTATTCCTCGAGTTATGACAGTTCACTTAGTGACTGTTCAAAGTTATGTCCCCCCCCAAAACCACACTTACGACTTGGTCCCAAAGTTATGTATGTTGCAACATCATAGCAGTTGTTCGCCCTTATGACCAACTGCACAGGCTGCAACATGCCTCCTGCTTATTTCTCCCCACCCATGCTGCCCTGCCGGGTCTCCACAGGCCTGCTTTGCTAGTCCACCAGATTCCACTTGTTCCTCCCCACCCCATGTGGACCTCGCCATTTGCTGCTGTGGAGATGGAGAAATGGACAGCTTGGTACGCCTGTCTGCTGCTGCCAGGGAGTGGGCCTCAGGCTCCAGCACCCAAGGCACAGCATGGGCAGCGCAGGACTCCTAGATGCAGCCAGCAGGTGCACTGACCTGGCAGTGGCAGATGCCTCCCTGCTCATCCGATCTCTTCAGGGGTGCACCCAGCATGAGCAGAGTGACCTGGGTATCAAGCTTTCCATCTCACCATGGTGGTGAGTCCGTGTGGGTTCACCACAGGTGAGCAAGCACGGGTGGTGCAGGACTCTCAGACATGGCATCCGGCAACTGCAATGAGTGGTTTGCTATGAGGGGCTGGAGTGTCCCTGACTTCATCTCAGCTATCTCGCTGCTGCCCTAGCCAGCTGCCCAATGGCCCGTTGGTCTCACCTCCTCGTCCAGCCAAAACACAGCGCGAAAAATGCCTGTTGATTGGCTGCCGCTGCTTTTGCACAATCCCTGAAGCCGCTCATTCAAACCAGCCACCCAGCAGCACGCGGAAGGTGCCTGCAGTGCCGCCCAGGCCAGGACCAAATGAGGCTTACAGCGACACTGATCTCATGGCAGAAAAGTGGTCATCTTTTACTCAGACCCTGGCGAAGCTGTTTTCCTTAGATCTTGCATTCTTACAAATGATTCCATCCTCTGTGCAAAAACATGTCTGTAAGAATGCAAGGTCTAAGGAAAACAGCTTCGCCAGCATCTGAGAAAAAGATGGCTGCTTTTCTGTCACGTGAGTCAGCCTGTTCTGGAACTCTGGAGATCGTCTAAAAGGGAGTGATTGGTGATGCGGGGTTGATGCGGAAAAGGCCCAAGGAACTATAGGGACCCCAAGGGGTTGTAAACAGAGCATAAGATATCTCACAGGGAGGCCTTGGATGGATGAAAGCAGGTGGCCTGTTCCAGCACTAGCCCCCCCCCAATGGTCTTTCCCACCCTGAGATACCTCACGTGCACTTAATGATCTGCACATTCATTTAACAAATGCATTGGAGAAAGAAGGAAGAGGGCTCATTCATTTAACATGATATAATTAATGAATCCTCGGGTTATGAATGTAATTGGCAGGCTCTATTAGATTCATAATTCAAGGATTACCTGTATGTTTTTTGTCTTACTGCATTCATGGCTTAAATGTGCAGTTTTTAAAATATTAAAACACAAAAGCAGATTCATTCTCAATCAAATTTCTTCCCCCACTTCTTATTTTCTATGATACTTCAAAAGCAAGGGTAAGAAAATAAACAAGCAACTTGATAGTTCTGTTTATTTTAACAGGCATAGATTCTCAAGCTTCAGCTTTTCCTTCAAAAAAAAAGAAAGATTTGTCCTCTCCAGATCTAGTCTTGCAGTAGTAGTAAGAGCGGTAGCTGTTTTGATACTGATATTATACTAATCATTAATACAGGAGAAAAATGGGATTCTCAGGCCTCACATCCTTGTTAAATGGCAGCTTTCTATAGTGCGCATCAATCCACTTGATACATATTTACCGCAGAAAAGCAGCACTGCATTTTAATTTAAATGTCTTGTTTTTAGCACGTAGTAGGTGGAAGAATAAGGAAATAACTTTTCTCAGTGGAAGAAAAAAAATGTCCTATGGTTAATTTCTACAGTTGATATAAGATCCATATGTTCACCGTCTCATCCCAATTATAACTACTGGAATGAAAAAACAACCTTCATAACAATAACAACAACAACAAAATCTATTGAACTAGACAGGCCAATTTAAGTCACTTTAAGGCAGTTTCATGGGTTCTTCTATTAACCAGGATTTGTAATAAAATGGGGGATGAAATGGCAAGCATTCATTCATCAGAAGAACAAGATTAACCAGGAGACTCAAGTTTCAGAAAAGACTTACATTTTAAAAACCAGAACATTTTATTCCTGCAAGGCACAAAGTGTGCTCTTGCAGCATCTACCTCTCCCTATAAAAGGCTGCAAAAAGTTAAATGAATAACTAGGCACCTAAGAACTACACAGTATTGGAGAAGCAGCCCTTCCAACCTACGTTAATGCTCTTTGATGCGTCAGAACTTTAATGTCAATTAAAAAAATATTCTATTCATTTACATCTTAAGAGATACCGCAGCATATACTTTAACAACTATTGGTATCTCTACTTTATATGAATTTGCCAATCAAATCAAAAACCTGAGAATATTAGATTTTATAAAGGGAAAAGTAACTTATAATTTTGAAGATGGCATTTTTATTGTTGATCTTCAAAATTCAGTTTTCTACAAAGGAAAGCTATTTCTTGCCCTGAAAAAAAAATCACAAGATCCAGCTATAAATTATTCAGATAAAATATTAAGACCCAAATCCCTTATAAAGATTATCTATACTAAAGGTTTCCAGAGACATACGGATGCAGTACACAGAACATGCTGGCTACATATTAAAAAGGGAGGATGCCTATGCATTCATGTCTTGCTTGCATGGTTCCCATTGGCATCCAAGTTGACAATAAGATCTGCTCCACCAAAACCCTTCTTTTGAATGGAAACACAAGATTATAAATTTTGCTTGATGGAATGAAAGTATGTTATTTCAAAGTTCTTACATAAAATGCAATGGTTTAAAAACTGCACAGCTGAGTGAGAAAGAAGCTCATATTCAAGACTAATCCAGTCATATGAGTCCAGAAATAAACCAGTATTAGATAAATGTCCCTCTATGCTTTGAGACATCTCTATCTCAACCAAAATATTTGCCACTGCACTAAGTCACAGTTACTTAATCTTACCAAATAAGCTAATTGGCTGTGTTCACAGACCATGATAAATCATTCACCAACATTTATAAACCACAATAGCTAGGTCTATAGAGCATGATGAACATTATTGTGGTTATTTGGTTCAGGAAATTATATGTCTCTAATCATTAGGATGGTAAAACTCCTTCGAAAGAGGTGCTTCTAGCTTTGTGGGATCTCAATCAAAGCTCCTCTTTTCACTAAAGTAGCTATAGGAGAAAACCAGGTAGAGATAACTGGAGCAGCACAAACTTGAAAAAAGATTGTTGTTTGATTGAAGAAGAGGTGTTTTATACACAGCCTTGTATCTGGAAGCATCTCTTTCAATGGATTTGCACAGCCTTATTAGATCTTCCTGCACATTTGCTTACTAACTGTTATTGAAACATCTTCAATGTAATGAGATGTATATATATTTGATATGTATCCATTCACTTACAAGAGAGCAGAATCAAAGCCAAGGCAATATATAACGATACCAGTATCAGGCCCCAAGAAAATCCAGAATTGTTTGCCTCTGTCATATTATCAAAAGCAAGCAAATTATTGGTTTACTCAGTAATTCTGCACATCCTGAAGGATAAAAAAACCATGCAGAGTTCTAAAGTTGTGTCACATTGCCACAGCAAATTCTATTATACACCTTAAGATTGCCATATACATTACCCTACAAATTTGCAGGAATATATTCACAAAGGTCAGAGATTTTGCCTTTATTATTTGATAAAATGCAAGCTGTGGTTTTCTGAATATTTGGTTTCAATACTAAATTTTACTGAATATTCACAGGAATACTCATAATTCTGAGCTTGTGCAGGCCACCTAAAGTCAGGGATTATGGGCAGCCATCCAAAGAGGCAAAAGCTGTTTCTCATTCCAAGTTCTTTATGCCTATAGTTGGCATGTCCTCAGGGCTGGGACAAGATGGAGAACTGGTACTTAAGCTGCTTACTTCTGTTGTACAAATCTTTGGGAAATCACACAAAAAGTCTTGATTTGGGAGGTTCACTTGAAGAAAAGCTATGGAATCAATACTTCCATAATGTCAAGAAACATTGTTCACAGACAGCTAGAAAAACAAGAGCAAAAGCAGACTTGTGCGAGAGGACGTGAGGTAAACAAGCATGTTCCCTGCATAGTAAGAAATTTCCAAGTGGAAGTAGCATGCAGAAGGCAACACAAAAAATAAAGCATGTTGAGGAAGGGAGGATCTTGCATCTGGACAAACAGCAGCATGGCTCTTTTTTAAGGCAGACTATCACTAATTCATTCAAGGCAATTGGACATACCAATTTCAAAAGCTAAATACTTGCTAACCATGATCAATACTTTAAATTAACAGTTGCTAGCTGAACAAAATGCAGGCCCTGGCAATACCTCCACAAGGACAGAAATCAACCACAGCAACAAAATAAAGTAACAATGCCAAAATTACTCTGTGGCGAGGTGACACAGAAATGCACGTGACAGGTGATAATGCTACTCAAACACAACAAACTGACATTCAATTGATATCTGAAAGAGACTAAACCAATCATTTACTCAAAGATGGAAGGCTTTGGATCAGCTGTAATACGGCCACAGTATTGCTGATAGGATGAGGACATGGGCTTAGCCATGCAAGTGCTCTTAAATCTGGCTACATATAAGGGACTTTCCCAAAGCTTTCTGCAGCCCTCAATGTATGCCACAGCGTGTTCAAAGAGATAAGAATGTCCTAGTGGGTGTGGTGGAATGAAAAAAGAAAAGAATGAATGCAAACATATGAGAGTTATTTCACCCTTGAGGAAAACAAAGCACAAGTAGCAGCCTAAGCTATTTTTTCTAAAGTGGCCAGTAGCGATTCCCTTTAACACAGCCAGCACTGCTTGTTAATATGTTGATGTGCAGTTACATTATGGAGTATACAGTTTTCAACACCTGAGATCTATAACCAGTATGTGTGACTTTTATAAACTCCCTCCCACTCAGGCCATCTCCAGGCATTCTTCTTGCCTTCACAATGTAGTTAATAAATAGCACAAAACCATCTGCACCAAACAAAGCAAGCTGTGGTTTGACCCTGCTTTTTGAAATGTCCAGAAGCTAGCAAGGCCTATGAGAAATTGCAGCGAGCCAGTGTGACAAGGAGCAAGGCACAAGTAAATGGCAACTCTTCAGAGATTGTACTCAAAATCATCTATCTGGGAAAGAGGAGAGGCTGGAGGAACTTGAGTCTCTAAAGCCCTCCTTTAATGCTTATAGAATGAGATGGAGAAGATAGCTGGCACTGGTGCACCCCACTGATTCACCGAAGGTGGTGTCCTGGTGGCATCCTTTGGATCTTCAATTAAGGGATATTTTCTGGAAATATGCAGGGTGCAGCACTTCAGGGAAGGGAAAGCCAGCATGAAGTGCTCATCATTCCGAAAACTAGAGAGTGTAGACTTGATGAATGTTGTAATCCTCATGCTTCTTTCAACAATGGAATATCTGGAAAGGGGAGGGGGAGAGGAAAGAATGTTAGATAACCTTTCTATTAGGTTCCAGCTTTCAAAGCCAACTGGGCGCAGCTCTGATAGAGTCTTAAGAAATCCATTTGATTTACAAAAGTTCTTATTTAACCAGCCAAGTTTCTATAAAAGCTTGGCATTCTTTAAAACTTTCACTGGCTGTGTTTTTGCAAGGCCTTTTCTTTACAAAGGCCTTAGAGTCTAATAATAAGAGCTTCTTTGGATTGACTCAGACAAGAGAACAAACCTTATTTATTCTTCCTAATCGTGGGATCAGACTAAGGCTCCTTCTAATAGTGAGAACTGTACCAGTCAGGGACTGACTTTGCCCTGTGTCACTTGAACTCCTGGTCTAGAGAAAATACTGTAAACTAATTATGCACTATGTCATCTGGCACTGTAGAGCAGGCAAATTTCCACTGGAAGAACTTCCCCCTTCTGTCACCTCCTGGGATGCCTTCTCATACCTTCTGTCCTGGAGGTATAGTATAATGCCACCATCATCCACACATCTCCAGTCATTCTATGGGGTGGCTTTGCCACTCTCCTACTGTAGCAGCTGGCTGATTTTTTTTTTAAAAAAAAACCCTGTTTCCCTCCTCATTTAAAAAAAAAATGCACCAGGGAAGAAAAAGGGCACAACAGAGGTGACAGGTGACCACAGGTTTTTGTGGCCAGCTTGAAGAGAAACTGTCCAGCTCAAGCATAAACAGCTCAGTGGTCAGGAGACACCCAGTAATGTAGAAGCGCTGCAGAAAGTAAGGGAGGAAGGCCTAAGCTGCCTTTTTCAATAGGTAATAAAGTATTCATGAGTTTAAAATGCATGAAATCCAAACTTCTATACCAGAATAAATAAAGACTACGGCTGAAACAAATTATGCAACTTTGGAACCCTGTATTAGTAAATCCTAAAGGCAAGACTAGGAATTTTTTTGTTTGGTTTGTGTACTTTTGCGAAATGCACAGAAAATTGCAATTTAATCTATTAATGGGCAATCCTGTGGAGTTCTTAGGGAAAGTATGTAAGAAAAGGAGAGTGCTGTGTGGGTTACCACAGGACCTGGTACTTTCTCCACTGCTGTTTAACATCTACATGAAGCCAATGGATGAGATTATCCAATGATATGGGGGGGGGGTCCTGTCTCAATGTCTGGAAGCTCTGGGGGTTTGGATGGGGAACAACAGGCTTCAGCTCAATCCAAGCAAAATTGAGTGGTCTGGGGTCTTGGGGCCAGGGTCTTAGGTCCTCCTGGCTCTGGGGACTTTCCACCTCTTGTCCTGACTAGGGTTGCACTACTCCAAACACAACCTGCATGGCTTCTGCTAGCTTTTCACAAGGTTCTGAAAGGTTCTGCCAATGGGCATGAGGACCTGGGACTGTGGTAGAGCCTGTGCCATGGTTTCATTGGCAGTTATGGTCAGATGTGACTACTTCAGGTATGAAATTTCTTGTATGGTTTATACATGTTTATATATTGTTTTAACTTACTATGTTGTTTTGGTGTTTTTATATTCTTTTTAAATGTTTGTCATGTATTGAGATGGGTGATTATATAAATTGGAAAGATAGGTGATGGATAACAAAAAGGTTCTGGAACAGTTATTTTTTTTCTGAAGACTATGCTACTTTTTGCAATTTGTTGATTAAAATGGACCTTGTAGGAGTTACAGACATTTTTATTACAGTTATAGAAATCCAGATTCAATACTTATTTCACATTACTTACCATCCATGTACTCCTCTGAGGACGCAAGCGATAAGAGGCTTTGCACATCACTATTTTCTGAGTCCAAAGTCTCTTTGTGCCCAGATTTACTACTAGATGTGCCAGCCACCCAGGAAGACGTGGTCGCCTGATGCACTAGAACAGTTTCTGAGTGGTGAGAACTTCCAGCTTCACACAATCCAGAGTGTCCAGGGGTTTCATCCTCCCTAATAAAACCACTGGGACCCACTTGGTCTGGTGGCGGCTGTTGCATTTCCCTTGCCTCACTCTGTCCAGCTCCTTCTGAAAGGACGATCTGTATTCGTGTATCTGAGGATGGTATGCAGTTTCCAGCACTGCCATAGACAGCTTCTTCATAAGATGGCAAAGCTACCTGAACTCCATCCACCATAATAGAAACCTGGTCCCCAGAAACACCTTGATCACGCCTGTGTTTGGAATTCAAAGAAATATTTAGGTACAATGACATAAACAGCATTTTATGGAACAATAAAATGTACAGGATTAGCAATCCTATTTGTTTCACTATTGTTTCAGAGTTAAAGGTACTAGTAATAAACTATCTCTGCGCTCTGGTTTTCTCCAAATGTCTTAGGATTGAAATTTTTTAGAATTCTCACTGCAAATTAGCATAGCCATCAGATATTTAGTGACCTGTAATGTCAGAGCCAGTTTGCTGTAGTGGTTAAGGCACCAGGCTAGAAACTGGGAGATGGTGAGTTCTAGTCCCACATGAAGGCACAAACTGGATGACTTTATGCCAATCACTCTCTCTTAGTCCTAGGAAGAAAGAAAGGCAAATGCCTGAAACCTCACCAAGAAAACTGCAGGCACTTATCCAGGTAGCCACCAAAGTCAGCACTGACTTGAAGCACACATACACAAAACCCCCAATGTATCTATAGGACATTAAATGGAAGAACACTTTAATAAGCCTAAGCTAGACCAAGATATGGTTGATCTTGGGATTATTTTCAATGAGGTAAGCCAATTCTTTAATGAGCAACACAAACTGTCCCTCTTAACATGGAAGTGCTTATGAAATTGCTGTTAACTGGAATTAAAATTCCTGAACAAAAATTATGCTGAGATGAACCCTTCTTGTTAAAAACTGAAGGGCTAGGCTCTTCATTCCAATTAAGACTGATATATCCCTAATATATGCTTCCATGTGCCCTCTATTTAACATTATGTTAAATTCGTTGAATGTGTTACTTCAGAACTTTCCATTGTTTCATTATAATTTTTCCCTCACAGACAGTATTAGGTATTAAAATGCTTTCCATACAGTAGGCAATTAAGGGAACGTTTCATGCAAAGATGGGCATGATAAAGGACCAAAATGGCAGGGACCTAACAGAGGCAGAAGAGATTAAGAAGAGATGACAAAACTACACAGAAGAACTATACAAGAATGAGCTTAATATCCCAGATAACCACAATGAGATGGTCATGGAGCTCAAACCAGACATCCTAGAATGTGAAGTGAAATGGGCCTTAAAAAATCTGAGCAACAACAAAGCTAGTGGAGATGACAGTATTCCAGCTGAGCTATTCAAAATCTTAAAAGATGATGCAGTAAAAGTGCTACACTCAATTTGCCAGCAAATTTGGAAAACTCAACAGTGGCCACAGGATTGGAAAAGGTCAGTTTACATTCCAATTCCAAAGAAAGGCAATGCCAAAGAATGTTCAAACTATCGCACCATTGCATTCATTTCACATGCTAGTAAAGTTATGCTTAAAATCCTACAAGCTAGACTCCAGCAGTATGTGGATCGAGAACTACCAGAAGTACATGCAGGATTTCGAAGAGGCAGAGGAACTAGAGATCAAATTGCCAACATACGCTGGATCATGGAGAAAGCTAGGAAGTTCCAGAAAAACATCTACTTCTGCTTCATTGACTATGCAAAAGCCTTTGATTGTGTGGATCATAACAAATTGTGGCAAGTTCTTAAAGAGATGAGAGTACCAGACCATCTCATTTGTCTCTTGAGAAACCTATATGCGGGTCAAGAAGCAACAGTGAGAACTGGACACGAAACCACTGATTGGTTCAAAATTGGAAAAGGAGTCCGGCAAGGCTGTATACTGTCGCCCTGCCTATTTAACTTATATGCAGAGCACATCATGAGAAAGACAGGGCTAGATGAATCAAAAGTTGGAATTAAGATTGCCGGGAGAAATATCAACAACCTAAGATATGCAGATGATACCACTCTAATGGCAGAAAGTGAAGAGGAACTAAAGAGCCTCTTGATGCGGGTGAAGAAGGAGAGTGCAAAAGTTGGCTTGAAACTCAACATTAAGAAAACCAAAATCATGGCATCCGGCCCTCTCAATTCCTGGCAAATAGATGGGGAAGAAATGGAGGTAGTGACAGATTTTATTTTTCTGGACTCAAAGATCACCTCAGATGGGGACTGCAGCCAAGAAATTAAAAGACGCTTTCTCCTGGGGAGGAAAGCTATGGCAAATCTAAACAGCATACTAAAAAGCAGAGACATCACCCTGCCAACAAAAGTGCGTATAGTCCAGGCCATGGTTTTCCCAGTTGCAATGTATGGCTGTGAAAGTTGGACCATAAGAAAGACTGAGCGCCAAAGAATTGAGGCCTTTGAACTATGGTGCTGGAGAAGACTCCTGCGAGTCCCTTGGACTGCAAGGCGTTCAAACCAGTCAGTCCTAGAAGAGATCAACCCCGACTGCTCTTTAGAAGGCCAGATCCTGAAGTTGAAACTCAAATACTTTGGCCACCTAATGAGAAGTAAGGACTCACTGGAAAAGGGCCTAATGCTGGGAAAGATTGAGGGCAATAGAAGAATGGGACGACAGAGAATGAGATGGCTGGATGGAGTCACTGAAGCAGTAGGTGTGAACTTAAATGGACTCCAGAAGATGGTAGAGGACAGGAAGACCTGGAGGAACGTTGTCCATGGGGTCGCGATGGGTCGGACACGACTTCGCAATTAACAACAACAAATAGTGAGATTTGTCCCATATCAGCTTTAGATTTTGTAGGAAATCTGCCATCTTGTCAAACTAACTACAGTGCCATAGCAATGCCAGGCCAATCTGGGAGCCAAAAATCTCTTAGGATATTTCAGATTTATAATGGGCAGATGAACACCTTGCTTCTCTTTTTTTGAGAAAAGAGGAAATGTAACAATATAATGTGTAATACATTTCATCCTAAAACCACCTCTTATTTTCTTAGTAATGTTTAACCCAACAATGTAAGATAGGAATAAGAGGAAATAAGAGACCCTGTAAAAATGTATTTATCACCACTAGTAAATTCATAAATGAGCTGGGGCAGAATTACAAGACTTCTATCTCATAGTTCATAATAATTGCACTATGGCTAAGATACTGGATGCAGATGAAAATATGAGTTAAGGAAGAGAGGCTAGATATGATATGGCATATCATTTCAATGGCAAATTATGTTAGTATTAAATAAAGAGAAACAGAATGGCTTTATTGATAATCAATTTCCTCATGCTATCCTGGGCCCACAGTCAACTAAGGAAGCATCTATTATTTTATATCCTTATAAACTGTTCGATTTCTATAAATTAGCCATCTCTGCTGGAGTCGGAACTATGGGCTAACTTGACAGACATTGTCTGCCAGGTAAACTGTGAGTCACAGATCTAATTCTGCTTACAGAGACTTCATGATTAGAAATACTTAGCTCTATGCTAAGCTCTATGCACCAAGCAGCTACCTACCTAGGCTGACTAGCAACACTACTTCTATATGCAGCCTATATTTCTTGCCAAACTGTACTGAAAAAAAGAACTCTAAACATCTCCAGACACTGATCTGAATTTCCTATAACCAAACACATTTCACAAAACTGGGCAAGACCTGAAAAGTACATACAGTTTAGAGAAGTCTATTTCAGACAAGGCCATTTGATTTATGACAAAGTAATGTGGGTAGAGTCAGGCGTTTTTCTGAAAATAAAGCTAAATGGACCCTAGAAAATGCTGCTATCAACAGAGCTGCAGGAATTTATGAAATACCTGTAGAATTGTTTCATATCTTGCAAGGATATTGTTAAAATACTGCTGACAGTTCATATGGAAAACATAGCTATGGCCAGAGAATGGTAAATAGGAATCTGTATTTAAAACAACAAAAAATTACAGTGTCAAAAGATGTTCCAACTACCAAACAATTGCATGTGTTACACATATTCCATGTATAATTGAAAAGACAAGACAGTCCCCTAAAAGCCACTGATTTTTGTTTTATTGATTATACTAATATTTTTTATGTGAACTACAGCAAATTGCAGATAGCCATTAAATACAAGGGCTGGACCAGTCTAACTGAATATTTTGAGAATTTTTATGACATCTAGGAAGCATCAGTTAAAATGAAATATAGAACACCACATTGGGTTTAAAATTGGCAGATGAGTGTATTAAGAATGTATACTATCACCCTATTTAATATGAAGAACATAAGATGAAAAGCACTGGATTGGAAAACATAAGTTGGAATTAAATTTGCTGGAAGAAATAGACCAAAGTAAAACAACCAGGTGATTAGAAGTGAGGAAGGCTTAACGAATTCCTTGCTAAAATTTTAGAAACAGAATGAAAAAGCCAGTCTGATACAAATACCAAAATATGTCAAGTGTACAAGATCACCTAATGCAATCAGGTGAAGCAGCAGAAACAAATACTACCTTCCTGGATCAAAAATCCACAGGATTGGTTACTGTAATCATAATTAAAGGAGCACCAGCTTCTAGTAGGCTATGACAAATCTAGACAAACTTTTAAAGTATAGAGACAACACACTGCCAACAAAATTGCTGTCAAACCAGCTGGAGGATCAAAAAGCTGGAGGATCAAAAAGGCTGAAGAAAAAACCAATGTCACTGAACTGCAGAGCTAGAAAAATAGAGGACATTAAACAGCAAGAGGATCACTATCATCACCCTAGCATTTTTTCCTACAGGTGCAGGGTTCTCTAACATTGGACAGCAAGAAAAATAAATTATTCAACATTATGGAAGCAGAATCAGTCAGCACACTTGAAGGACTAAATAAATATTTTTGCCATATAACATGTTAAGTAAGAGTTGTTGGAAAAGATCCTGATTGAAAAAAATACTTGAAAATAAAAGAGGCCAGAATAAGGCAGGCTGGCTAGAGACTATCACTAATATTGCAAGCGTGAGCTTATCAGAATTTAAAGCAGTTACGGATGAACAATTCCACTGGATCACAAAATCTTGGAACAGTCTAAATTTCATAGCTTCTTATGTAAGATTGTAAGAGACTGGAAGAGAGAAAAGACTACCTGGATTAAACATAAATATTACTCTTCTGATTACAATCTTAAGAAAGCATACAAGGCAGAACAAATGGGGCATACCTTCCAAGGGAATTAGCCATGAAGAAACAAAGTAGCGCTCTTACTATAGTCTTACCCACCCACTCAAAGAAAACAACACAAAGTTTTGATCAATTTATTCATTGAATAATTTTTGTTAGGATATGATGGGCATGCAATCTTGAAGTTGCATTATCTTCATCATTAAGAGATATTTCTATCCTGAATCACATTTTTTTCAGCTTCAATTATAAGAATAGAGGGAAAACTACTAAGGTATGTGTCTACTGTTTGATAATTCTTTCCTTTATCTCAGAGAATAATATACAAATAGTCTGGACTACAAAAGTATCTATTAGCAGTGATGATAACTGTTCATTTTAAATAATTAAGCCTGTTTACAAAACTCCCTCTTCCTCTGAAGTGCAGTTTCCACATTGTGCTTGCCAGAGTAAACATACTGACAACAGTCTGTGAGCTCAAGGAATTCCAAGCTTCCTCCCAGCTTGGAACTTTGAAGCAGGCAGGGAGCAAACAATGCACAGATCTTTTTCAAGTTCCAAGAATGGAAGGAAGGCTAGGGGTTCTTCTGGTTTTTGAGTAACGGAGGTGACTGATAATGGTGCCTGTCCTGATCATATGGGCAGCCTGGAAAACACAATGTTTGGATATTTTGAATCCCTCCAATAAGCCTTAGGTAAAGTTTCTACTAGAAGAGACCTTGATAATTAGAATCTATTGAGAGCAATGTACTTTGAAAAAAATCTATCCATTATGGAAATAAAAAAAAAGTCCAGGTATGTATTACACCACAAAGTCCAGTTATTCTTTTACAATAGAATTCATGATTACTATCTTCAAGATCAAAATGGAAATAGTTTTCCCAAGGAAATAAATGGATTCTTTGCCTAACAGAATGAGTTCTTGAAGTAGAAAAAAGTGACTGGAGGAAAAACTTGAAAGAAAATAGTAAGGTACAATCAGGAAAAAAATGCATGGCTTTGGGTCAATAAAATAATGAGACACTTGTCACCATACTGCACTTATAAGTATTTATATGAACAGTGGGGATTCTGAAACTTTGTAGACATTACCAAACAACTTCTAGAATTCTTCATCTTTGACTGGTGTAGCAGAAGATGCCAAGACCTAGCAGCATCGGAACAGGTTCCCCATCCAATTTACATGCATAAACATCTGCCCATCAAAAGCAGCTGATGATTATGTCATCTTCTCAAGTAGCTTCTATGATCAACATTAGGATCTATTCTAATTTTTTAGCAGTTTGCAGTACAGTTGGCATAACTCATGTGCTATCTCTCAGGCTATTCTGCAGTTAAGTCAACTGTAGCATATAGTGTGAGAACCTTGGCCACTAATTTGCATGGTTTAGGCTACTCTGGACATTGAGTTGGTATACACACCACTCTAATCCTAGCAGTTTACTAAAGTGAGCAGCAGCATCAACCCCAGCAGCTAGCCTTCACTTGATACCCAACTAGTCATAATAGCCTCGTCTATTTAGCATCAAACACAACCTCCACCCCCCCACACCTCTCTAACTGAACAGACCCCCACAAATTCCGAAAAACTCACCTGCTATGATGAAATGACTTCAGTTTTGGTTGTAGCAAGACAAACAATACAACTAAGAGAAGGATGAGAGCGACTGAACTTGCTGTAGTAGCCACTATGGATAAAGTGGGTACTCCTACACTTGGAGGAGAACCTTTATCTACAAAATCAAACAAAAACAGTCAATGGTTTCTCTTTAGGAAGCAGCTGTTTCCTATAAGTAAGACAGGATTCCTGAATAAACTCAGTCCTGATAGCAAGCTGTTTGCATAGGCAGTATTCTTCTCAGAGAAGCCTGGTTTGGGGTGAAATCTGCTGCAAATACATTCAGAGAGAGACATCCTCAGAGAGATTAGATTGTACCTAGCTGTCAAGTCATGTTCCTTTCAACTGAACTCTCAGGCTGTCTTAGCTGTCCGATAACTCCCAAGCTTCCTGTTTTAGGTTAACTGAAATTAAAATCATTTGGATACAAGTCAAAACTATAATGGATATATTCAAGATTTATATTTTTGAAATTTATTTAATTCTAAGGGGAAAAAATAAGCAGCTGAATGGTAATTCTGACTATGACTGCATGATTATAGGCAGAATGTCGTGGGAACATTCCATTATCAAGTCAAAGCTTGACAATAAGGAGATTGGTATTATTCCTATAATGTCAAGAGTTTTATTTTTGAAGATGAAAAAAGTCCCAAGCTTAGTTTTTCCACTGAACATGAACATTTCAGCTTCAGCATTCATCTGGCCTTCAGGGATTTTGTTTTTCCCCATAAATTTCTATTAAAAGACATCTACTCCTCTCCTACTGCTGCTGCAGTGCCCCCGGTCAATTAAAGCAACATGATAAATATTTTCTTCCTTTTTTTGCTTCATATCATGGGAAAGGAATTCTTATCTTACTGATGGAAAATTTTGCAAGACACAATAGTCAAGCTGCTTTTGAGAACATTCTTTTCAAGAGAGTCAAGATGGGGCAAAGAACAATGTCTTGCAGCAAGCAACGATCAAGTTGGTTCGAAAATCCCTTCCTCTAAAACACTTCCACAATTTAATTGCTATGCACTTGCTTCATTTATCTGTCAAATTTGAGAAGTCTGAAGCCATCCAACTCCAGAATGAACGGCATATATTAAAATAATAAACCTAGCATAACCTACCAAAAAGAGATACAAGTTTAATTTATTCAGTTTAATATCACCACCTACTCCAGACGAGATCCCAAGACAGCAGTAGAAATATAACTCTCATTCACCCAAATTCCCAAAAGGGGGTCACCACACACTAACCCAGGGTTTAGGGGAAGAGTCAAGTCTCCATAGCTTCATAGTTTTCTGAATTACATGGGGAATATACTGCACGGTGGAGCCCATCAAATGGCTCATTTCACTGTGTGTTGTTGCCAGGGTGGGTGGGTGTTTTTGTTTGTTTTACTGTATTTTTATTGCTTATAAGCCACTTAGATTAGAATTGCTGTGAGCGAACAGGTGGCTATATAAAATTTCTAAGTAAAAAATATGGTAGCTAAATTTATTTTTAGAGAGAATCCTTGCCAATACTTTCCTAAGGTGTAACTAGGATTTTATGTCAGTATCTGAAAACAATGGACAAAAATAAACAGCACAGAAAGCAAAAGTGAGCAAATTCACTCAGATATACTGACCTTGACTAAGTCTACAGGTAACCTCCAATTCTGGATTCCACTTGCCATTCTTGCAAGTCAAATATTTGTAATCTCCTTTCAAAACATAACCTTTGTCACAGAAATACTCTATGACACTGTCAGATGTCAGTGGGTCTTTGCAAGGCGTTGGATGACATTTGTAACCTCCATTCTCAGGTTTGGATGGCTGTGGACAGACTGCAAAGGAAAACAGAAACTGTGACCCCAGTTTTAAGCAATAAATCCTATTAAAATATGTAGTAACCCAAGACCGCAGCACCATTGCATTTCAACAAACACTGAAATGTAACAAGAATGTAAAACCTAATAAAATATTGTTTTAAAAAATGGAAAAATAAAGTACTTCAAAAATAGTTTAAAAAGAAAAAAAAGAATGTGCATTCTTGTCTTGCTACTCTGAAGGAGATAATGATGAACGGTGGGCCCAAATCTCCATCTTCATCTATGAAAATGGTCATTTAATATACCCTGTAGCAGGTTCTTTTTTAAAAAATGTATCTTCTTTTTAGACTGATAATTGAAAAGCCAGAAATCTTTCCTAAAATGATTGTTGTTGCTGAGATTTAGTTTGCAACTAATGCTTCTGGTGACCATCACAACTATCTCAACTCATTCCAGAGGTTTGTTGCAATTTCAATACGTCCATTCAAAGTCGTAAGTCCAGAAATGCTCAAGAGATAGTAGGAATAGGAAGACAGAGTAAAGAATAAAAACAGAACATGACAAGGTAATACATTGACTTTCCATACACTAATGTGGGCATACATTGATGGCCTATTTTATATTCTGCAACTTGTAGGCAACTACTGATTGCTAGGAACATAATTAGTGAAGAGAACACAAATGTTCTCTTTTGAGAACCATGAATGAGCATTCAATAGATTTTGGACATTATTATGCTTATCCATGTCTTCCCTCAGGAAACAAGGTCAGTGAGATTATGAAGTCGGTGAGCCTCAAACAATGATTTAGCCAAGACCAAGTTAAATAAGAACTTGAACTTGTCGCTTTATGTGGCTTAAAACATTATACTTATCCTGATCACCACAAGCCAAAACACAGTTGGCATGGCAGCAATTTTGAACAGAAAAGATAGGTGGATAAAAAAGACTGAAATCCATTCATCCACTCTTTTCCACTGATATTTCTCATCAGAATAAACAAACAATAACCAATAATAGGAATTTATTAAATGCAGTTTGTTCTTCAGAAGACAATCCACAAAAAGTTATTTTAAGAGCAGCAGCTCAAAGTGGATTATATCTATTCACAAGCTTATTTAAAGTCCAGTAGGAAATTATTGTATTAATAAAGAGATAAAAACATATGTAATTATAGCTATCCCTATTAGTTGGTCTAATCTGCCCTACTCTACCCAGTCTAGACCATCCCATCCCATCCCATCCCAGGAAACATAGCAAAAAATCACAGCGGAACATAAAATTTAACCATGTGTTGGGAAGTAGCAGGTCTATTTCTACAGAAATATTTAGCTTATTTTACCATTGATGACTGACCACTAATTATAAAAATACTTGTTTTAGCCTTTCTTAAGCTATCACATTCTATAAATAATCTGACTATACACGTATCCCACCGATGAAACTGAAACCATAATTGTCTCATACTAAACCAAGCTATTTCCTCCTTGAAGAAATGGGAATAAACAACCAGGTATATATAGCTATCACCCATCAATATTGTTATAAATATAAATAGAGATACTCGAATGCATTAAGATCATCAACAAAGATGATTGGGGACTGGAGGCTAAAACATATAAGGAACGGTTGCTGGAATTGGGTATGTCTAGTTTAATGAAGAGAAGGATGAGGGGGACATGATAGCAGTGTTCCAATATCTCAGGGGTTGCCACAGAGAAGAGGGAGTCAAGCTATTCTCCAAAGCACCTGAAGGCAGGACAAGAAGCAACAGATGGAAGCTAACCAAAGAGAGAAGCAACCTAGAACTAAGGAGAAATTTTCTGACAGTTAGAACAATTAATCAGTGGAACAACCTGCCTCCAGAAGCTGTGAATGCTCCAACACTGGAAGTTTTTAAGAAGAGACTGGACAGCCATTTGTCTGAAATGGTATAGGGTTTCCTGCCTGAGCAGGGGGTTGGACTAGATGACCTCCAAGGTCCCTTCCAACATCATCATCATCTTCTTCTTCTTCTTCTTCTTCTTCTTCTTCTTCTTCTTCTTCTTCTTCTTCTTCTTCTTCTTCTTCTTCTTCTTCTTCTTCTTCTTCTTCTTCTTCTTCTTCTCCTCCTCCTCCTCCTCCTCCTCCTCCTCCTCCTCCTCCTCCTCCTCCTTCTCCTCTTCTTTTGTTATTATTATTAAGTTTCTGCTGATAGTAAGCCCTCAACTTAACAGACAAAATCCAGTGCGTCCTATTTCAGATAGGAACTTTATCCTGAACAATGAATAAAATCCATCACTTGGCAGATCAGATACCGCTCCTTCTGGTCAAAAAGGGTATTCACAGTTGTAAGAAAGCACAGGAGTGTTTTTATTCTTGAAAAATCCCATTTGCCATTTAATATATATTTGTTTTTAACAGAGTAATATTAGAGACAAATATCTTTATTTGCCTTTAATATTAATCTATTAATATTAATATTAAATTTTAATAGTTTCCTCCTTACTGAGTGTATGTAGCTTTATTCTGAACACTGAATTAACAGTAAAGAACCAAATATTACTTGCTCCACTGTAGGTCTTCTTCATATTCAGTGCTGATTGAAAAATTACTGTTTCTCTATCAAGAATGCATTATGAAGAAGTCTCTTTTAATATACTAAAATGAATAAATGAGATCATATTGAAGGAAAAGGGTTTGTCTATGTAATCAAAGCTATACATTTAGGTAATTAGATTCTGTTACATACACAGGATAAAATGTGCCTAATCATTTCAAGCTTCTTCAAAACTTTTTTAAACAAAAGACATCAAAAGGGAAATAAAGACTAATTATAGTCTTGCATCAATGCAATCATCAGCTGGAGATTCACAAAAAGCAGAGAGTTGAATTACTTTAATTAACATGCAACACTAGGATTACCACGTGGTCATTAAACCTCTGCCACTAAGAAACCATGGAGAAAATTATGCCATGCACAGAACTATCTATTAAAATGTTTTTCTGTAACATGTCTGCCTTGCCAAGCTAAGACTATACTGTAGTTTCAGCAATAGAGCTCTCCCATCTCAGTAAAATCTATATCTTAAAAAAGCAATAGAGCTATCCTTTCCAAAATGGAAAAGATATCCATTTCATATCTTAATATGATTGTGGAATGTAACAACAATAACAATACTTTCAGATAAGTAACTTGGCAATAATTGTAGGATCAGACCCAGAAAGTCAATGCTAGAAAGCCACCTTCAGACAAAAAAAATGCACAATATTCATCTCAAATGCAAGCAATCGATCATTATAGATAGGCCTTTAAAAATAACTGCCTCCTCTCCCAAATATTATTTGTACCCGATCTCACTGACAATGAAGCAGTCTTATTTCCATTAATTGCCAACAGGCTTTTAAAGCTAAAGAAGAGGGAACAGCAAAAATGAGTCTCATAGGCAAATGTAGGAGTGGTGTATATTTTGTCTCTTTAGTAATTATTTGCAACACAGAATGCATTCTACTTAATGTAAATCCTTCCATGTAACACAATACATAGTCTAATTTCAGTTTTAAAAACTGGTTTAATTTGTAGCAGAATAAAACGGGTAGGTGAATAAGCTCTTCTAGTACATGCCTGTACTAACTTAAAAAATTAATTATTTTGATGTAATATGAGCAGAAAACAGCTACAGTGCTTTTAATTTAATTCATTCTTATAACATGTTCTATAAAACGCTACTAGAGAAGAATAATGCTGGCAATGCTAACCACTGTTCCCATTAGGATGAGAGTGGTTGAAGAAATAATGTTATATGTAATTAAAGATGGAGAAAATATTCATTGATTATATTTATTGAAACCTCTCCTGCTATTACAGAAGGTGATGTGATTATCATTACTGGTATGTTACTGAAAAGATTTCAAAGCAGAATGAGTGAACTCAAGAAAAGAGAGAGATCTTTATGAAGGCTTTGAGTTTTTCTCAGCAAACTGTTTGCCTGAAATATACCGATTATTTTCTGTTGTTCTATTGAATCCTTGTTATGACATAGATGGTCTACAGCAGGGGTTCTCAACCTTGGCAACTTTAAGACTTGTGGAAAAGTCTGGCTGAGGAATTCTGGGAGTTGAAGTCCACAAGTCTTAAAGTTGCCAAGGTTGAGAACCCCTGGTCTACAGAATATTTACACTGCTGCAGCAGTGGGAACAAGTTGGAGATGTATAACGAACTAAGAGCTGAGAGACATATAGTTTCTGAAGTCAAAGTAACAGAAGGAGAAACTGGCACTGGAAAGGTAAGGATTTGAAAAAAATGGGTGTTTCAGTGAAGAGAACTGGAAGAGCAGGATTAAAGAGACCAAGCCCCAAAAGATATGGAATAGTTCTGAAGGAGGTAGATGAACATCTGAAAGATTCTTTCAACTTAAATTTCCAAAGCACACCTGCACTTAAGAGCTGAACCCTCCTTCATTCTTTTGTTCCCTTAGTAATCCTCAGATAACATTGGCAGAGCTCAACATTAACCTTTACTAAAAACAAAAGTGGTAAAAATTATCATAGATTCATGGATTTTGCTGTCATGGCTTCATAACATCTTTAACTGTAAACTCAACATTTGATATTGCCAGACTTTTGATTTACAACCTAATAATTAATAAGGATACCTAGTTAAAATAAGTGGAAAACATAGTTAGGATACAGAAATGAAAAACAATGACTTATCACTTCCTAACAATTCATTGGTAACACAATCTCCAAACAACTAAAATGGCATTTATATACGTGGACATCAGTTTGAGTACACAGAAATCGAATTGGTTATATATTATTGCAACACATAACTGTTACAAAAGAGCAAAAATGTGCCTGGAGCTGACTGTGGAACAAATCAAAAATTGTTCATGTGGAAATTCCAATTTAAGCTCAAGTAGAACAAAACCAATCAGTTTTCATGATATGATTTTCAGCATGTACATATATTTTGAAGGAGAACATCAGGAATCATTTTAAAGTCTTGGACCTCATTAACAGGAACTGAGGAATGAA